GCCTGCAAACATATAAAAAAATGCTCAACATCGTTAATCATTAGAGAAATGAAAATCAAAACCACAATGAGATATCACCTAACCCCAGTGAGATTGGCCTGTATCAAGAAATCCCAAAACAACAAATGCTGGCAAGGATGTGGGGAGACAGGAACACTCTTACACTGCTGGTGGGACTGCAAATTAGTGCAACCTTTGTGGAAAAGAATTTGGACATACCTCAAATAGCTAAAAATAGAAATACCATTTGACCCAGCAATAGCATCTACCTAAAAGAGCATAAGACATTCTATTATAAAGACATCTGCACCCAAATGTTTATGGCAGCACAATTCACTATTGCAAGGACATGGAAACAACCCAAGTGCCTGTCAATTCATGACTGGATTATTAAAATTTGATATATGTTTACAATGAAATATGTTTACAATGGAATATCAAGTCTAAGAAACGACAGTGAGCTAGCACCACTTATATTATCCTGGATTGAGCTTAAGTCCATTATCCAAAGTGAGGTGACACAAGATCAGAATAATGGGCTCCACATGTATTCTCCATCAAATTGGTACTGACCGATTATCAATATGGTGCTCAAAGGGTGATGGTGTTCACCAGAGATTTGGGGGGTGGGGGGGTAGACCCACATCTGAGGGATGTGGCAAACAGTGTGGAGGGAAGGGCATACCTCTAGCCCTTGCTAGGTAAAGGCAATGTTATAAAATCTAACCAAATGTTAAAAGAAAAAAACATTTATCGGGTGTTGGCCAGGTTGGGGGGGGGGAGGAGATGGGTATGTATATACATTATAAGTGCGATGTGCATTGTCAGGGGGATGGGCATGCTTGAAGCTCTGACTCAAGGGGGGAGGGAAGGCAAGAGCAATGTATGTAACCTTAACATTTGTATCCCCATATTATGCTGAAATAAAAAATATTTTTTAACCCTTCTACATGTAGTTGACCCTGATATCTTTTATTCTATTCTATTCTATTCTATTCTATTCTATTCTATTCTATTCTATTCTATTCTATTCTATTCTATTCTATTCTATTCTGTAATACTGGTCAGGTCTCACTAAATGGAAATTACAACCCACTAATGAGTTGTGACCCACAGTCTAGGAAGATTAAATGAGACCATGCATACAAAGAGTTTGGCATGGTGCCTGCTACCTAGTGAAGTGCTCAATCATTGTGAGCCATGATTGTTACTATTATTTTTTATATATTGATTGATATTATTGTTGTTGCTTCAAGAAATCCCCGAAGCCAGGCAGTGATTACGATTCTGAAACCAAGAAAGAGATAAGTTATCTAAAATCCTAACTCCTCCCAACTCAGGTCACTGGGGACTGAAAATCTGGTAATGATTTGTAAAAATTTGCTTTTCAACAGCTGTAAAGGATAGGACTGGGAGGACCCAGCTCACACAGCCAATGTGTGATGGGGCTGGGATTCAAATCACAGCTGTCTGGCTTCAAAATCTCTCTCTCTCTCTAGAAGTTTCTTGGGGAAACACTTCACAAGTAACAGATGACACACCAAAAGTTTTCTGCAAGCTTCTCCACAGTCCTTTCATAATGTGGAGTGAAGACTGATACAAACAAGAAGTTCCATTAAAAATGTCAAGTCCAGCTCACCAGGACAGCAAGCAAAGTTCAGGAAAAACTGATCCCCACAATGGTCAATTACACAGATAAGAAGCATTTGTCTATTTTATTATTTTTAAACTTCATTACTAACCATTCCCAGAACTCAAATACATCATGTTGGCCCAAGGGAAGCAGCCTTTTAAAATTTACTTAATTTTCTGACTTACTTGGAAAAAGTACAAAGTCCTTTGGACCACAAAGAATAAATGTTGCACAATGCATTCTCCTATTGCTCTATGTTTTTGCAATAAATAGTGGCCTGAATTTTTGCACCAATCTTATGTTTGCTTATTTTTTTAGTATTAGTTGATCTATTAAATATTTACATGCATTATCTTTTATATTAATATTTAACAGAGTCCCACTAATTGAGAGTTATACTTTTGTGAAAGAACCAGGTAGACAGGTTCATCAGGCCCTTAACTACTGGGCTTCCTAATTTAAGGCAGAATAAATCAGCAACACTAGTATCATTTCATAGCAGGGTTTTTTTTTTAATATGATTGGCCAGAGGACTCTTCCAGAAAAATAACAACATTCTACCTTATTTACTATTTCTGTAAGCCCATCACAATGAAGGAATAAAACAACAAATGAACTTGGGAGCACAAATACATTTAACATTTTATTATTAAAAAAAAAAAAAAAGACTCCACCCATTCAAATTGCCTAAGAACAGGATTAGGCTACTTTAGTCCTAGGTTATGTTTGACAAGTTAGAATAGAGCAAAAATTCTTGACTGGCAGGTTAAAGCAAAAATTCTTCAGTCAGTAATAAGAGCATCTTTTCTTCTTATTTCCTTAGCTCAAGATCTTAAACAAAGTTACTACCAAAACAATTTATGCTTCAGTGGAGACAAATCAAGAAAATTGTATTCCCTAAAAGAAAGTTTCTCAACATAATGGACAAATTACAGGATTCCTGTGGAAGAACTTTTGCTCCATGGATTAATTTCCATTCCAACCTTTAGTCACATGCATGAGTACTTATCTCATCTGGTGTCTAACAAGCATTTAATGACTTCATTCTTGTGTGCACTCTTCTAGACAATTCGAGGAAACCAGAACTGGGAGAAGCAAGCGAGTTTACTGGGAAACTGGCAAGGCTTGAGCTTCAGGCCCCTCATTTGCCCTAGATCTTCCAGGGCCCTGCACCTAATTTTATTTTTTGTTACTTTCTTTTTCTTAAAGAGGCCTCCAAATTGTATAAACTCCAGGTCCCACAAAATCTGGGCTTATTCTTGGGGAGAAAACTCGAATTGCTTCTCTGGAGGAGCCAATTGCTGAGCACACGGGGCCCTCCCCCACTCCAGCACCATCAGTCACCCCACCGTCTCTGACCCCTGCGATCCCCCACCCTCCTAATTCAGGCTAATGCTGTTGATCAGCCTTATCTGGATACTGATGCAGGTTTCAGGTAAGGTCTGCTGATGCGTATGTGAGGAAAAAGACCTCTGCTGATTGAGCACCGCACTGTTTTCTCTGTTTCTGGCTTTCCTGCCTTTCAATGCACGTCATAGAGAGCTGCCAGAATAGTATGTGCCTGGCACACTGCGGGCATTCAGTAGGTATTTGTTAGATGAATGCAAATCATAGTTACCTCCTTGCTCAGAATCATGACCACCTCCCCAATATCCACAGTATAAAATCCAAACTCCTTGGTGTGGTGGCCTCTAGGGGTCCCAGTCCAGCCTCCTGCCACCTCTCCTTTACCCCTAGCCCCACTCCTGTGGTTCTGAAATACTCCCAGGTGCCCCTTTCTTCCTGGCCTCCCATGCTTCAGGCCTACCAGTTGGCTGTCCCCTTTACCCACAGAAACTGTCCCCTGCCCCTGGCATGCACAGCATTGCTTCTGGGCAACTTGATTAGACCCCTCTGCACCCCCAGGCCTCCCTTCTCCAGGAAGATTAGGCAGTTCTACTTCTAAGCATTCCTGGTACCTTCTAAGTAAGTATGTTAATACATGAAAGCACTTCTCAAACTTGACTGTCATTGTCTCCTGGCCATGCCTCTCATACTAGAAAATTCTAAAGGGCAAGACCCATATCTTTTCATATCTGCATCCAGGGCTCCTAGACACTGTGCCTGACTCATAGCAAATAATCAATTTTTAAAAATTAACAAATATAAGTAGGAATTAAAGAAATTAGATCACAAATGACAAGATAGCATCACCAAATAGACAACCTCTCAAGACACTGCTATTCAAATTGTCACATACTATAAAGTGCCTTCACATATAATGACTTATATTATATACTAGGCTCCATGCAAAGGTTGATAGCAGAAGTCAATGTTCACCCACAAATAAGGGCACATTTTACTAACACAAAAGAAAGTGCTGTCACTCAAGGTTGAGCAAAGAATCGAATTGAGAGGGTTTCAAAAAGCTTCTCCTTTCAGAATTAACTACTTGGGATGTATAAATTGGAGCTGTCATCTAACTCCAAAGAAGCTGGAGTAGCAAGTCTTGGGTTCTAAGGCCAATGCCACCACTTGTATGCTAGACAGAGTGTGCAACAGCTCTGAGCTTCAGTTTCCTTATAAAAAGGGGATAATAATACAGACTTCACAGGGTTGTCCTGAGGATCAAATAAAGTCAGTTATCGGAAGCAATTAATTAGTTCAAAGCCAAGCACCCAGTAAACACCCAATAAATGGTATTTGTCATTGTTATGTCCAGTGCTCTGAAAGTTTAGCACACCCCTGCCCCCTCCCCCCTGGCTTAACATGACTTCTGATGCTTCTTATTACCAAGAGACACCCAGTCACATTTATTTCCTGTACAAAGACTGCAGGGTTCCTCCTGGGTTCTGATGTGGCATGTCCTTGAAGGGGGGGAATTTCTAGTGTCAGTCCCCCTTGAGAGCACATGTGTCCTCTGGGAGAGAACTCAGGCCATAGCATAGAATATTTCTGGGGCAGATTTCCTGTATCCTCTTGGCCTCCACTTTGAGGTCTGGGGCTTTTAGGAGTCTCAAATCTATGGGAGAACTCCTGGGTGCTTCAGGGAAATGGGAGGTGGTTGTTCTTTATATCTTCATTTGCCCGTTATCCTTGAGCTATGATTATATATTCCAATATCAGATTTGCAACAATTTGGAGTCTTGACTATTTGCTCTGGGGCCTGAGCATTAAAGGGTGAGCAGGTTCCCCTGAGGCCAGTGAGGAGATGGTGGCAGCAGTAAGGGAACAACTCAACAGGTTGAGGTGACTCTTGGAAAAGGAGGGTCTCCCCACTGCTGACCTTGGGGGACCTGAGTTGGCACTAGCTAGAGGAGAGAGCAGTTCCCTCAGTACCTTGAACAGCACATCTGAGCATGATACACAAAGGCAGTAGGCCACTTACCTCCTCAAAAGCATCACAGCCTGTCACCACAATATTTGGCCTGAAATACTCCATTTTCACTTTCTTCTCCATTCTGGTATTCAAATCTGCCAGCGAGGCTTCCGAGAGGATCAGGATTGGGCTGTAGTCTGGGTAGGCCACCTGTGCCAAGAACACAGAACAATCAGGCCTCACCACCCCATGAAATTGCTTAGACTGACTACAAAGCTGAGCAAAGTCCAGAAGCAAAACCACCTAAGTGCAGAAGAGGAGTGGTGTTTGGGAGGCAGAGGTGACTTCAGCCTTAGAAATGGCCAGGTCAGCACCCAAGCACAGTTCCTAGCCACACAGAGGGATAAGGCCAGTGTCACGTGCCAGACCTCCTCCATGCTCCTCACTCCTTCCTCAGCAGTAACCCTTCCCACATCACCCTCAAGAAGGCAAGGGGCTGTTACCCATCAGCCATACTCCAGGAATAACCCCTTTAACAACACCCGTTCCCCCATGAGCATTTGCTGAGCCCCTTCTAGGCACCAGGCACCAGTCTAGGTGGGGAAACAGCAGTGGACAAAGCAGATAAAAAAAAACCCTGTCCTCAAGGAGCTGGCGGTTCAGGGGCTATGTGGAGAAATGCCCTGAGCTACTGGCATTTTAAATCTTACTTAGCTCACAGCAGAACCAAGGGCACTGGTCTTTGGGCCATGGCTGGCTCAAAGGACAGTTTTCCTCAGAAGGAGTCACCCGGCTCCTGCCTCCACTATATCTCCCATATTCAATCCTTCATGTGCCCTAGAGATCTCACTTTCAAGACATCGCATTATCCTCTCCATCCCCAGTACCTCTGCCCAGGTTGTGCCCTCGTCACCCCTCACCTGGGTCATTACCGTATTTTCCTAACTGAGGTCCCAAGAGACGCTCTTTGCAGGCTGGGCAGGAAACCAAACAGGGAAGGTTAACTGGTAGGAGTGAAAGCAAACTCTGTAAGCTCACCTGGTAATTCTGTACAGCAGTGGGGATAAGTTTTCTCGATGTTCTTCCCTTCATGCTCATTTCAAACTGAACCAACCTGAAGGCTTCTGTTTTCAAGAAGTTGGTGAACCACTGAGCTGCCTCATCACCACAGTCTCTGCCTTTAATGTCAAGACCAAATACCCTGGAAAGGTCACATGGGAATACCAGGTTACTTACTTATATCAACACGCTGAGGGATGCTGTCAAAAATGGAGAGTGGGACTGTTGGGACCTGACTATCCCAGAAGGCCATGAGTGGTCCTTGGGTTAAAGCTGGGCAGAAGCAGAGTAGGAAGAGAGTAGAATGTGCTCTAGGGAAGAGCTTCCAGACCCTAATGTGTGTGAAGATCATCCAGGATCTTGTTCAAATGTAGATTCTGGTTGAGCAGGTCTGAGTTGGAGTCTGAGATTCTGAATTCCTAACAAGCCTCCGGATCATGCCTAGGCTGATGGTCCACAGACCACACTTTGAGTAGCAAGGATTTAAGATGTTTTCAGAAGAGGAGAGGGGTTGCCCTATGGCAGATGCACCCTGAGCTTGGAACCCAACAGATCTGGTTCAAATTGGAACTCTGTCATTTTCTAGTTTTGTGATCTTAAGCAAATCACTTAACCCCTCTGACCTTCTGTTTCCAGTAGTAAACTGGAGATAATAATATAGTACCTATCTATGCCACTTGGTGGGAACAGATAACTTTAGATAATATAGCAGCCTTCAAGGAGTTTTGCTTGAATTACCCTAGAGGTGTTTTAAAAAGCTACATACCCTTTACAAAACTCTTAAGTTTACAGGTAAACTTTTTCATCATAAGTTTACTTTGCTGTGAAAGATATAATTTCCATTAAATTTACATATTGACATTTATGTAAATGATTATATTATGCTTTTAAAAGTATGCAGTGGGATCTAAATGCCATGTCAGTTTGATATCCACCACTATGCATTTTTAAAATGCATAAGATCTTCTTTAATGGTCCAAGTTTTTACATTCTTCTTCTTTTTATTCTTGAATGCATATGTACATCCTACTTTTATTTTATAATTTTATTTTAATATATTTTTATGGTAACTGGTCACTTGTATTTACTTTGAATCAATACAGTTTTCTTTGTTTCTTAAGATTCTAAGTGTGAAGAAATTTTTTTAGGATCAAGTTATCATTCAATTTTTATATCATATCATTTTTATTTGTGTACAATTGATCACAACAAAATAGGTGTGTATATTATAAATTTTGATAATGACTATGTAAACAAAAAAGTAAAATTTTATTTGAAATTAATTTCTTAAAGAACCCTATAGAGTATCCATGCACATGTGAGTGAATCTTACTTGCTAGAATAAGACAAAGTTCAGCATCACTTTTATTCCTTTCTTTTAAATAGGATGAATTTAACTCATTGTTTGAACCCTTCTGCAATGTTTGCCACACAGTGATTTCTCATCAAAAAGTATTTTTAATGATTTATCAGAAGCAATTTAGGGCTCCTTCATTTTAGGGTCATTCAAGTGATCTTCCTGGCTCCTTAAGCTCCAGAGTAAGCAAGGAGCTGGAACCACTGACCCATAGAATGATTTTGTCCTGTCATTAGAGTCATTCTCTTTATTAAAACCAGTATTTTTCATTGTTTGGGGCCCAGTAGGTTTCTCCCTTCCAGGGAGATACCCTTAGTAACATGTAGGGTGGACAGAGACAAGCCTTTCATCTGTACAAAGGGGAGGGGCAGGAACACTTGCTGATTGTAGGTATGATCTGGATCACTGTTCAAAAAGAAAACCTGTGGGATTTGAGGCTCTGGAAATTGATTCCCTTAAAACATCTCCTACCCTCATATGCCATGGGAAGTGATTGCACCTCCCCTGAGAAAGCACATGCCAGTGTCAAGACTCCAGAGTGATTCGGGTGAAAGATCCAATGTGGACACACGAGGGGGTCATAGTGCTCCCTGAAGACCATACCCCTTTGGAGCAGCACTTGCATGCAAGTGCACATACTCTACTCCACAGCATCCACCCCTCCAGGTAAGCTTAGTGTCAGCACTTGACAAAGTAGAAAGCACTCAACAGGGCAAAGGAGCACCAGTTAGCCAGTGCGCTCCCGCTCCTGAAAGTCACCCCTTCCCTAGGCCTGTCTCCCACCGCAGCAGTGCACTGCATATGCCCCTCTGCCATTCTGCCTTCTCCAATTCCTTCAGAATTTTCTGCAAAACCCACTTTCTTCCACATATTGGCACAAAATATTCCATCAAGCAACATCCCATAGAAAAAAACTGACCTTCATTCTGTTGGTCCAATAATACATCATTAGTAAGCAATCTATTAAATCACAAAGAAAAAAATAAACCACCAAAAATTACTTCCAAGGGCATAAAAACTTGAACAGACTTTTACAAAGAAAATCCAGACATTTTTACTGGGAAATTCTACCAATAATTAAGGAATAAATAATACCAATCTCACACAGCAAACAAAAAAAGTGTTTTTAAAAGTTGTCATGTAAAATACAAAGAAAAAAGTAAGTTATCAAGTACTAAATCTAACAAACTATGTAAAATTCTAGGAAGTAAAATTATAAAACTTTAAAAAGATAATATAAGACATATAAATCAGAAAAAATGATATTCATGTAAAGGGTGACTCAACACAATAAAGATGATGATAGCTACTTAAGAGCTAAATATCTAGTTAATTGACTACTATCAGGTACTCTTCCAAATGCTTAGTTAACATACACACCCACCCCACCCCCACACACATATACACTCATGTCAATTTTCTCTAAATTGAGCCACAAATTCAATGCAATTACAATTAAAATTCCAAGAGGGTCTTATATGGAACTCAACAAGCAGATTCCAAAATTTATGGAAGAGTAAAGTCTCAAAAATAGTTAAGATACTTTTGAAGAAGCATAACATGACATGGAGACTTTTCCTACTAGACATCAAGATATATCGTTAGAGTAATTGAGGCAGTAAAATATAGGAGCAGGAATTCATAAATAGGATAATGCAACTACAATGGGAGCTCATAATGTGCTGGAGCAGTTGCTAATCCACACATAAATTATATTGAATTGCCACCTCAAACCATGTACAAAACAAAATTTAGAAGCAATAAAGACTTATATATAAAAGGCAAAACTTCAACAGTTTTAGAAAAAGAAAGTAGGAAATATCTTTATGACTTTGGGGTGGAGTATATTTCTTAAGACACCAAAGGTGCTAATCAAAAAAAAAGACTAATTTGATTACAATAAAATTAAGAATGTCAGCCGGGCCGGTGGCCTGTAATCCTAGCACTCTGGGAGGCTGAGGCGGGTGGATCGCTCAAGGTCAGTAGTTCAAAACCAGCCTGAGCGAGATCCCGTCTCTACTAAAAATAGAAAGAAACTAATTGACCAACTAAAAATATATACTCAAAAAATTTGCTGGGCATGGTGGCGCATGCCTGTAGACCCAGCTACTCGAGGGGCTGAGCAAGTAGGATCATTTGAGCCCAGGACATTGAGGTTGCTGTGAGCTAGGCTGATGCGATGGCACTCACTCTAGCCATGCAATAAAGTGAGACTCTGTCTCAAAAAAAAAAAAAAAAAAATTAAGAATGTCTATTTGCCAGAAGATACCATAAAAGAGATAAAAGATCAGTTACAAAATGGGATATTTGCATCATAGATAATTGACCAAATATTTATATATAGCAAAGGTACAGAATAACTGCTTGTCAATAAAGGAAAACTTGGGGAAAAAATATAAAAAATATTTCATAGGCAAGGAAACATAAAGAAAAAATACTCATAAAGAAAAAATATTCAACCTCATTAGAAATCTTAGAAATGTAAATTAAAACCACAAAGGGGAAACCATTTGACTCATTTAACAGATATTTACAGTATTTAAAGTGTGCTAATGGAAAAATCCCAAAGTTTGTAAAATAATGTATGTAAAGAGGTTTCTTCTCAGCTGAGTATGTGTGATCATGGCCTGGGAGCATAGTCTAAAGTGTCCTGAGAAAATGCACCTGAAGAGGTAGGGTTGCTGCTTGGTTTTATACATTCATGGAGACAGGAATTATAGGTAAAATAAAGAATCAATACATTGAAGGTGTACATTGGTTCACCCAAAAAGGTGGGACGGTTCAAAATCAGGGTTGGGGGGGTTACAGGTTACCGGTGAGTTCAAAGATTCTTTGATTTGTAATTAGTTAAAGAAATAAAGCTCTGTCTAAAGGCTTGGAATGTTTTGTGCTGTGTTTTGTTTTGTTTTGTTTGAGACAGGGTCTCACTCTATCTCCTTTGCTAGAGTACAGTGGTGTTATGATAGCTCACTGCAACCTCAAACTCCTGGATTCAAGTGATCATCCTGCCTCAGCCTCCCAAGTGGCTGGGACTACAAGAGAGAGCTGCCACCTCACCCAGCTAATTTTTTCTATTTTTAGTAGAGATGGGACTTGATCTTGCTCAGGCCAGTCTCAAACTCCTCAAGTTGGACTGTTTTAAATTAGTTAAGGAAGTCTGTTAATTAGAGAGAAACCACAACATATAGACTCAAGTGATCTATTAAGCAAATTGACGGCCTGCATGTGTGATTTAACATTTGCCCTGCATGGCCTTAGGTCCTGTTAATAATTTAGTGCCTTATTGTCATAAAGATCAGTCTTATGATCTCTGTTTTAACAAACATTAATGATGGTCAACCATTATATCTAAACTTCAAAAGGGAGGAGGTATAAAAAGGTGTGTCTTATCTCCCTTCCCTTAATGGCCAGGAACTCAGTTTTAAGGTTTTTCTGAGGTTCCTTTTGGCCAAAAGGGGGTCCCTACTGTTAGGGGGTCTTAGGGTTGTATTTTTAGTTTACAAGTTAAGAAAACTAGATGATAAGGACTAATAACAAAACTTTGTTAATGAGGACATGAGACAACAGATTCTTACCCTGAGAAAGTATAAATTGGTACAATAATTTTGGGAAACAATTTGGCATTTTCTTATAAAAGTTAACATGAACATACTCACTGATTCAGTATTTCTACCTCTAAAGTCATGCCTTAAAGAAATTCTTGCACATGTGCTCTCAGAAGATATATACAAGAATGGTCATAGGCCATTGTTCATATTAGAAAAAAACTTTGAGCAATTCTCATT